GCAGCCCACCAGGCTCCCCCGTCCCTGGGATTCTCCAGGCAAGAACACTGGAGTGGGTTGCCATTTCCTTCTCCAATGCATGGAAGTGAAAAGTGAAAGTGAAGTCGCTCAGTCGTGCCTGACTCTTAGCGACCCCAAGGACTGCAGCCTACCAGGCTCCTCCGTCCATGGGATTTTCCAGGCAAGAGCACTGGAGTGGGGTGCCATTGCCTTCTCCGACTTCTCCTTGAGATATAACTAAATCTTACCTGCAGAAGCTCCGGCCACCCAGCATGGGAGCCAGAGGCACCTTCCACCCATTTCGACGTCTTCTTCGAGATGGTCCGGAAGCCTTTGGAGGCCTGATAGTCCCAATCCCCACCGTCTCCGTTGTGGCTTGTGGAGTCGCCGGTTCTAGAACCTCAGCGTTGACTCTGGCCCTGCCTGAAGGGGTCTCTTCACGCCCGCCCCCCGCGGAGGAGAGACGGCCCGCCTCGCAGCAGGACCGAGCGCCGCGCTCGGTTTAGAGGGTGTGCGCGGCTGAGCGCGAAGCGGCCGTCCCCTCAGGCCTCCTCCTCACCCCCGGGCCCGCCGGCGGCTGCTGGCTGCTCCCAGGCACCCGGGGCGCTGACGCTCCCCCGCACCCCGAGCGGGAGAAGCCGCACCCAGAGGAAAAGGCCGCTCGCAGCCCGGTGAGAGGGCGCGGGGCCGCTGCGGCGGCCCGCGCATCCGGCCGCGGCGCTTCCGAGGAAGGAAGGGAGGAGCGGAAAGCAGGGCCCGCAGGCCTTCTGAAGGCCGCCCAGCCCCCGGGAGGGTCCTCGCGCGCCCCTGGTCGCCTGGAGGGACGCTGGAAACCGCCTGCAGCGTCTCCTCCCGCCTGAGGCCTGCCTCGACGGTCAGGGCTGCTGAGACAGAATGAGGCGGGCGGGCAGCAGGAAGGCGTGCCCGGCCCTGCGGCTCCAGGGGCAGGGGGCGCCTCGAGAACGGGGCCGCGGGGGTGGACTCCGGGCTTGGGAGCGTGCGCTGCACACACGCGCAGCTCCAGAGCTCGCGGACACCCGAGGCCCCCCGGAGGGAAGGGCCCGCCGACACGCGCCGCCGTGGGCTGCACGGGCACTGGCCTCGGAGTGAGGGCCTGGTTCTGCCGCGGTCTCTGGGTGCCACTCGGGGCCTCAGGGGGTCCTGGGCTCCATCACCTGATGCAACTGAGGCTTAAATTTGTACCCCAAATGTTCCCAAACCTCCACGTGCTACAACTGGTGAGCTGGATTCTAAAGATAAAATATAAAGTGAGACCATTGCGCATACAAGAGTCCCCTTTAAACTCTCTTAAATTACTCATGAACGCAGAGAGACACTTATTTTGAGAGGCATTTGTGAGATCAGAGACCCCCGAGAGGAATCAGTCACATCTACCCATCCCTGCTCAGCCCAGGCATCCGATCCGCTCCTTCAGAGGAATCAGGGTAACCAAGTAGCCAACACTGTTAAATGGCTCTGGGTTTGGATTGGCGTTTCTGAGTTTGCTGAGCCCCTGTTGTCAAATTTGCATAGGTTCCATAGGCACGTTTTGCAATTCTAAGTGTATTTTAAATTATTTGCTAATTTTAAACATATCCTGCTACTAGAAGCTAAGGAAAGCTGTTATATGATTTTTGTTTTTATTTATTGCAATATCTGTGCATATTTGCAAAATTTTTTCTAAAATATGAACAAGTATGATGAAATACAGGGATTATCCATGACGTTAGATGCAGATGGACTAGGGGGTCCCTGGCAATAAGGCTGGGATGGTCAAGTGGGAGACAAGTGAATGAGAAGGTCTAAACAACCCCCAACCTGAAATCTCCAGATGTCTGTGCTTCCTAGGCAGGACTCTGCTGATTGACCCACATGGATACTTTGGTTTTCAACCCACATAGCTAATTTTGAACAAGGGTTGTTGGACTTATTTTCCTCTCACCCCTTGATTCTGGTTACACCTCACATAATGGCCTCGTCATTTTTAAGATGTTCATTATTAAACTGGTTTATTGCTTGTGGATCTCACAATATCCTAGGGAGGTAGGAAAAATGAGTATGCCTCCCGTTTTCCAGATCAAGAAACTAAAGCCCCAAAACCAAGGGTCTTGTCTGGGATCCAACAAGCTAAACGGATGTTAGAGTTGGAACTAGAACCCAAGCTTTCTGATTTGAAGATTGTCCAGATTCAAAAAAATTAAAACAGAGCACAGATTTTATCACTGTGCTTACCAGGAAGGGTTTGTTTGTTCTTGTCTTAAACAGAGGAATGGCCCATGTGCTCAGGGAACTTCCCTTTTGGCCCTAGAATAGTTCTCTGAATTCTCAGCCTGAATTCCTCCAGACGGTGGGGTTCACTGGACCGTGTCCGTCTGCCCCCTCTGGTGGCTGTTACGCACATAACAGGTCACAGGGCGGCTCCTAGGGCCCTGGTGGATTTCCCTTTCTTCCGTCATGCATTCACCCCTGTGCCTGCCAGGCTCCACACCAGCGCCTGACATACACAAATAAATATAATAGAGCACCATCTCCTAGGTGTTTGACAAACAAGTGAATGGGTGACTACAAAACAGTGGGACGGAGGTCCTGGAGAAGTGTGCAGAAAATGCTGGCATGCAAAAGACCTTTGCATGGGGAAGGAGCAGAGAGGAAAGGGAAGGAAGTGGCCTGAGCTAAGTTCCAAAGGCTGAGGAGGAGAGGGGAGGAAGAGAGGGGAGGAGGCATTCGGAATTCAGGGAGCGGCCGGGATCAGGTTCAAGATGGTAGAATTCAAAGCACAGGTTGCAAGGAAGGAGAGCAGGAGGTGGGTCTGAGAGACTGACTGGGGCTGGATCATGAAAAGTTTTCCAGGTCACACTAGCATCTGAGTTCATATTCCCTGGACTAATTGGCCTCCAGACTTTTTCAACCATGTTTCCCATTAAAATCCATGGCTGATTCATGTCAATGTATGACAAAAACCACTACAATATAAAAAAAAAATATTTGAGTGTGCATCCCCAACAAACAGATAGTAACTCATTTATACATCTTATGCTCAAGTCTGTGTGCTAAGTCACTTCAGTCATGTCTGACTCTTTGTGATCCCATGGACTATAGCCCACCAGGCTCCTCTGTCCATGGGATTCTCCAGACAAAATACTGGAGTGGGTTTCCATGCCCTCCTCCAGGGGATCTTCCTAACCCAGGGATCGAACCCATGTCTTTTACATCTCCTGCATTTAGCACTACCTGGGAAGCCCTATGCCCAAGCAATGCAGTGTAATAGTTAAGAGCATGGGGTCTGGAGCCAAACAAAGTCCAAGTTCTGGTCTTGCTGCTTATTAGCAGATGACCAGGCGGCACAGGTTGTGAAGAACCCTCCTGCTAATGCAGGAGATATAAGAGATGCAGGCTCGATCTCTGGGTCAGGAAGATGCCCTGGAGGAGGGCACGGAAACCCACTCCAGTATTCTTGCCTGGAGAATCCTATGGACAGAGGAGCCTGGCGGGCTACAGTTCATAGGGTCGCACAGAGTCAGACACAACTGAAGCCACTTAGCACCCTTTGGTCACATAAGGTCTCTGGACCTCAGCATCCTCATCTGTAAACTGAGGATAACGGCAGATCCACCTTGTAGGGCTGTGGGGAAGATTAAATGAATTAATTCAGGAGAACTTAGGACAATGCTTGGCATATCAGATCAGTTCAGTCACTCATTCTCAAGCTTAGCAAGAATCTCTGTTATGTTTAAGCAAATTTTATGTGCAGTATGCCTATGTGTACTATTAATATGACTTTAAAATTTTTATTTTGTGGTGAAAAGCCCTGAAGACCTTTTGAAGCAAAACACAAATAAATGCAAGAGAAATAATAGATAAGATAATAATGATAAGGTCCCTTTCCAGCCCACACAGGAAAATTAAGGGAAAAAATTCTAATGTATCCCATTCTGGTTCTCCTCAGAGAGCTGAGATAAAGTGTGTGTGTGTGTCTAAATGTAGGGGCATAATATGTGTGGGTGTGTAAGTCACGTAGTGTGAATGTGTGTGCGTGAATGACAATGTGTGAGCATGTGATCTTGAATGTAAGTGTGTGCATATAAATGTGGGTGTGCACATGGGAATATGTGTGTGGGCATTGACTGTACGTAAATATGACTGCATCTGTGTAAGAGTTGTGAATTTCAAAGCTCATTGTATGTGTGAACATGAGTGTGTATGTTACTGTCAATTCCCTAAGTCCTGTCTTGACTCTTTGCAACCCCATGGATGGCAGCACTCCAGGCTTCCCTGTCCTTCATTATCTTCCTGAGTTTGCTCAAACTCATGTCCATTGAGTCAGTGATGTCAGCCAACCATCTCATCCTCTGTCGTCCCCTTCTCCTCCTGCCCTCAATCTTTCCCAGCATCAGGGTCTTTTCCAGTGAGTCAGCTCTTCGCATCNTGGCAAAGTAATGTCTCTGCTTTTTAATGTGCTGTCTAGGTTGGTCATAACTTTCCTTCCAAGGAGTAAGCATCTTTTAATTTCATGGCTGCAGTCACCACCTGCAGGGATTTTGGAGCCCGAGATAGTGATTTTGGAGCTCAAGCCTGGCACATAGTACATGTTCTATCAGCCAGTTTTATTAGATGCCTTTATAATTTGGAACTAGTGTAAAATTGGAGTTGGGATTTACACCAAGTAGGGGATCTATTTACTCCAAAAAAGTCTGTTTTAATATAAATTTACTTCAAAATGTCAAGAATTATTCTAGTCTTGAAAATCTCCAACGAGGAGCAGACCACTCCTAATCCCCTTACCCACACACCTACCTAAGACAAAATATCTTCGTCATCCCTTGATACTGGTTCTGCAGAATTCACAGGTGTGGGTGATCCCTGGATTTAACTCAAAGCAGTGAGGCCGGGCTGAGGGTGGGGCCTGAGAGGTCCAGGTGATGCTGGTGCTGGCCTCGGTACCACCCTTGGGAATTTTAAAAGGAAATACAAATATCAGATAAACCACATTTTAAAAGCATTTTCACTTTGATAATTAGGACACAGCATATTTTTGTTGTCACTTAAAAAATGTGTTTTAGCAAAGATTAAATATGCTTGATTTTTTTTTTTTTTTTTGTCATCTTGGTGTAACACTTTGTAGTGTAGCCATTTGAAGTTCTGGTTCTAAATTCAGGTTATTCTAGTTCTTGGTTTTGAAATAACTGAAAAGGAGCTTCACCAGCATAGACACCAAAAGAAATAAGTGCTTTATGGACCATGCCTAATAAATAGCGCTAGCCATCCACCAATTGTACAAAGGTATTTGTTAAAATTCAGCTGACAGTTTCCACTTTTCCTGAAGTTATGCACTTGTTCCTACTAAATAATTGAAAGGTTTTACCTCTTCCTATTATGGAAA